AGCAGGGCTCTCTGTGTCGTGGACGGCCTGGAGACCAAGACCTGTTAATATCATCTGTGTCAAGTATCCGAGGCCGGAGGAGACGACGACCACGACGACGACGACGACGACGGTGGCGACGGCGGCCTGTGATTGGACCACAGTCAAGTGTCTTTCTTTCATTCCTTCCTGCTTCAGTTTTCTCTTTCTTTCCTTTCTTCAATTTATTTTTCTCTTTTTATCTTTCTTTTCTCTTTTTTAATCTCATTTTCTTACCTTTAATTCCTTCCTTTCTTACATCTTTTTTTTCTCATTTTTTTAATCTCACTTTCTTACCTTTAATTCCTTCCTTTCTTTATCATTTCTATTTCTTTTTTCTTTCTGTCTGTCTTTTCTTTCCCTTCTTTATTTCTGTTTTTTCCTTCATTCCTTTTTTTTCTATTTCTTTCTTTATTCTGTCCTTCCTTTTTTCCATCATTTCTGTCTTTTAACCCTTCCTTCCTCCATTATTTCTCTCTCTCTCTCTTGTTCTTCTCCGTTAACTCTCTGTCATCTCTACTGTTAATATAGTCACATTATATCGAGGACTCCCCCCTTTACTCCCCCCAAAAAAAACACACACACACACACTCCCGCACCGACCACTCCCCCCTCCTTCTTGGCACCATATTCCGCGTGATCATAACCAGCTGAGAGAGAGAGAGAGAGAGAGAGTGAGAGAGAGTGAGAGAGAGGAGGAGGCAGCAGTGAAGAGTCAGAGCAGAGTACAGTACAGCAGAGGAGGAGGACCTTCTCTCTGCTGCTGCTGCTGCTGCTGCTGCTGCTGCTGCTGCTGCTCGGCTCCTCCGTGGATTCTAACCGTCGCCCCCTGAACCCCACACTCTCTGGGAATACTCTCTGGGTGCCTCCTCCAACTTGTCCACTTCACTCCCTCCTGCAGCCTCACCCTCGGCCGCCAGGTGTTGCCTGATCACCGGGGCTGTTTGTTTTCCTCACCTTCCCCCGGAGCATCTCTGTCTCTGCCTGGATAACTTTTTTCGCCATCCCGCACGATTGTCCTCCTCTTCCTCCTCTTCCTCCTCCTCCTCCTCCTCCTCTTCATCGACACCCCACGGCAGTCCCCCCGCCCCTTCTCGCCAAGTCCTGCTCCTTCGCTGCAGCAACGTCCTCTGGATCGGGCGGAACCCATTTGCTCGGTCTGCGCGGGGTCGAACTCTACTACATGGGGCGCACGGCGTCGCTCGGAAAATGGTCTACAGTCGGTCTGTGGGCGCCCCGCTGAGCCTGTCGGGATCGGAGTTGCCGGTGCGAGTCTGCGTCTCTTCCCCACCTCGCCCGTGCAGCCGGGGCTACTGAGACATGGGTCCGTCCGTGGCGGCGCAGACACCGCTCGCGGAGCCCCGGCGTCTGCGCCAGTGGAGCGGGACAGCGGGGAGCTGGCTCCGGATCACCATCGTCTCCTTCCTCGCCACTTTACCTGTGGAGCAGCTGCGCGCTTTTCCGTCCTCCCTCAGCGACTGCCAAACGCCAACCGGATGGAACTGCTCCGGTGAGAGTCGTTTCTGATAAGAAGCAGAGTTGTTGTCTGTGTTGTTGTTGTTGTTTATTGTTGTTCTTGTTGTTCTTGTGTATCGTGTATCGTGGCTCGGTTGTGCGGTGTTCGTTTTTGGGTGTAGTGGCTGGCTGTGCGCGGTGT